ATTAATAACCTTCAATTTATAAATTTTACCAAAACAAATATAGCCCGTGCATCGCACGGGTTACATACTAGTTATAAGGTCAAACCAAATCTATTAATTTAATTAATAGTTTGAGTTATTTTGGTGTTGGTTTACTTAAATATTATTGATAAATTACCTAAATTAGTTGTCCTATCACATATCCATATATGAAATATGAACATAATACTTCATGTTTTGCTAGTTAGTACTCCCTCCTATTATTATTATTTATCACGTTGGCTTAAATGGATCATTTATTAAATAAATATCGTTTTGGCTATTTTGTTTATATTTTTTCATTTTTAACCCTTCATCAATGCACAATGTCTCTTCAAATCGCATCTTCATTGTTTCCCATAACATCTATTAAACAAGATTAATATTGACAAGAAAAAAATTTCTTAATTAACGTGTTGCTTCTCAAAACGACAAATAATAAAAATAAGAGGGAGTATTAGGTAATTGGCGTCCGACAATGCATTATTACTTAATAAAAATATATAATACATGTTCATTTGTGTAAAATGTGAACACATATTTTATATTTTTATCATTCATCAAAAGTTAAATTATGGATATACGTTCTCTTTTACCAAAATATATGCATTCTCAAAAATATTAACAACATCTCAAAATGATGACACGAGTAGAGTTTAGCGCAAGTCGTTCAAATTTGAGCCATTATCAACCTGGACAAAGCTCAACTCATCGATTAATCGAGCCAATAAATAAATATGGACTTGATTTAATAATCAGCATTAGTCAGACAAATTTGAGTCTCAACGAGTCATACTAAGATAATAGTTCATAATATTACTTTAAACTGTTATTTCCCAAGCCTATCAAACCTTCTCGTCCGGTTAACAAAAGAAATTGTTAAACAAGTTCGAATCCATATCATTTATCAAATGAGAAACGAACTGTGAAACAAGTTTGAGCTCGACTCATTTATCAAAACATGCAACACAATTTATGCTTAGAGCAATTCTAGAGTTCTATCTAACTCCTTTAGTCAAAATTAGCTTAATTTATAGTTTCCTTGTGAAATAAAGGAAAAAGGTGCCCACTCCCAAAAATCCCCAATTTTAATGAACCCCATCACC